GGGGGAAGGACGGGGGAAAGAAGGGGGAAGGAAGGAAGGGGGAGGAAGGGGGGGCAGAAGGAGGGAGGGGAAAGAAGGTGGGGAATGAAGGAAGGGCGAAGGAAGGGGAAATAAGGGGGGAAAGGAAAGGAAGGGGGAAGGAAGGGGGGGGGGTGGGAGTGCTGGTTTGCTTTCCTCTTGAATCTGTCCACATTTTATAGATGTACAGCATCCTGTGGAAAAAGATTCTGTCCGTACCAATAACCTTCCAAGCACTTGAAGCCAAAGGTGGGTGTCAGAGGAGATGGGAATATCCTGTTCTCTGTGTCCAGAAGAAGTGGTGAGATGACTGAGATGTTAGAAGAACATAAGAGGAAACACTGGGATGGGCGACTGCTGGAGGCCGCTCAGGTTTTTGGTGATGGCTGCCTTTGAGAAGCGTGTAGATGAACAAATCTCAGGACATGGACAGGTGCTGGATTTCTCTGGCGTAGAGGCAACAGAGCAGCTACCATACAGACCTACTTTACTGCCTAGTTATTTACAGTCTGATTTTGGCAGAAGAGAGCGAAGCAGCCTATGAGTGCCAATAGTCATAAGCAGCATGCCTGCATAATGCTTGCAGATCATAAGCTGGGACCTGTTTGTGAGAACAGTGCTCCGCAGGACTAGTGCTCGTGTTTGCAGGGAGTTCTCATGGTTCAGAATCCAAAGCCATTTTTTAGAAAAGAAATATATATTTTTTGAAGATTAAAAACCACAAAATACACAAGCCCACGCCCCGACCAAACCCACAAACAAATCTGATAATGATTTGGTAGATGTGAGAGAAACTATTTTGTCAAAGCAGTGGCATTTTCTTACCTTGAATTGAAATGTCTGTAAATGAGAGCAGTGATATAAGAATGTTATTAAAGTAAAGGTGACAAAGTTTTGTTCGTATAGTAAATACAACTCTTGGAAGTCAGTAGTTTAAATTTGTGCTAGGAATAATGGAGTTTCATTTCTGAGTTTGTTGGGTCTTTTCCTGATGCTTCTGGATGCTACCCTATTATGGTTCATTTAGTTTTGGGATTTTCTTGTTTATTTCACAGAAAAACTGAGTTGGGCATGGTCTTGTTTGATTGCTGGTGGTACTGATTTTCCTGGTCTTGGTCTCAGTCCTGCACAGCCACTGCAGTGAGTTAGCATTGTTTTTGTCCCACAGGAGTCACCACCGCCTTTTGTGGAAAGGATCACAGGTGGCTGGGAGTGGATTTATCAGAGCTGCCAAAGCTGAGCGTAGCTGTAGATGAAGCAGGACTGGACAGTGATGTCCCCACCCTTTCCATAGCAGAGGTGGTGCTCACCTCCATGGCAAACAGCAGGTCAGGTGAGCTGTCCTTGGTTAGCTGGGCTGTGAAATGAAAAGCAGAGGCTTCATTGTAAGTCATGGGAGACTTGTGTCTTAAACCTAAAGCCTCGTGGATTCTGTGCAAGTTCCAAACAGCTCCTTGCATTGTAGGAATGAGGGAGCAGTTGATTCCCACAGCATCATAACAGGAGGCAGTGTGCACAGCTGGAACACAGGAGCTTCTGTCGGAACATCTGCAAATGCTTCTGGACTGTGTGAGTGATGGGCACTGTCACAGCTTGCCTAGACAGGCTGTGGAGTCTCCCTCCTTGCAGATCTTCCAGAGCTGTTTGTGGGGGTGGAGAGTGATAGGGCAAGGGGGAATGGCTTTGCACTGAGACAGGGGGTGTTGAGGTTTAGGTTGGATATGAGGGAAGTTTTTCAGCTAGAGGGTGGTGAGGCACTGGAACAGGTTGCCCAAGGAGGCTGTGGATGCCCCATCCCTGCAGGCATCCAAGGCCAGGCTGGATGTGGCTCTGTGGCGACCTGCACACAGCAGGGGGTTGGAACCAGATTATCTTTGAGTCCTTTGCAACCCAGGCCGTGCTAT